ACGCTAGCAAAAGGCAAAATACGTAGAAAAAGAGACTACCATATTTTTTGGTATGGAAAAAGCCGTTAATCCTGAAGATCCTGATCAGGGTAATCGGACAAATTTATCAAATTATTAATATTGTCATTGGTTCTTGATAAATGTGCGAAGTTTAAATTTAATTCGGCGTTTTGTAGTAGCTCAAAATCACGTTTGAAGATTCTGTTACATACATTCATACATACCATGCTAAGTATTAAAAGCGTGTTAAAAAGTTGGTTAGTGTAAAAAAAGTATCGATTGAGCTCAAATATTGACACGATATTTAACTCGCTTTAATGATGGTTTTTATTTATTTTCCGTATTTTATTTATTTATTTTCCGTATATTCAATTTTTTTTCTCATTTCTCATCAATGTGCCACAGCGAATCGTGGCAGGGTACAGCTAGTTTATTTTAGTCTAATAAATAATCTTAATGGTTTTTCAAATTTATCTATTAAATACAAATAAGAAGGTCTCAAATTCAGAAAAAATACCTACCTCATTACTTACGATGAGACGAGAAAATCTGAGAAGTTTCATAAATTATCTTTAATACGGAAAATTTAACAGGAGATCATATTTGCATCAAAAGATTCTTGTGAAGACGGATGAGTCCGCACAATTTATATGAAATCGACTAAAAACTAACTTACTAAAACATTAATGGAAACGGATTCCTTTCTAATGCGATTTATAAAGGTCTTTGATCCAACAATTTATTGATAAGTTCTTACCTAAATAGATTATGTTCAGGCATTCGATAGGATGAAAGTTCAGCTTTTTGGAGGAGCAGACATCGTATTGTTTTATGACTAGGGTTGTCAAATAGAAAAAATATAATAAATAATAAAATATATAGTTTGTTATGTTAGAGGAATTACGTATTTCAGAATGGTCACTTTTTCGAACTTTATTTTGGGCAGGTATAGATTAATATCCAACATCCTGATCAACTTGAAGGCATGCCAAAGATAATCCTTAAACGCCTTTTTTTGTTTTAATTGATGTTAAATGTTTGACATATAGGGGCAGGAGTTGTTTTTACTATTTTATTCGCAATTCGCGATAGCTCCGTCATTTGTGGACCGATTTTCGAAATTATTTTTGTAATCGAAAGTGTATACTCTCGAGGTAATCCTATTACCACTAATTCAGGATCTGATGATGGGATGATAGTGAAATTTACAGCCTCGACAACGTGTTTAAGCTTATTTCTCTAGCTTTATAGGTATTTGCGGTTAGCAGTCGATATGTCATGTTGCTGAGCTGATGATGGAAGGATCCTTGACCTTTAGGAGTTAGAAAATAAGTCTGTCAAAAATCTAATCATGTATTGACCTTGTTTTACTCTTTCAAGATATTTGTTAGGTGTTTGTGTTGGTTTACAGAGTTATGTCATCATCATCATCAGCCTATCGCAGTCCACTGCTGGACATAGGCCTCTCCCATTGCACGCCACTTAGATCGGTTTTGGGCTTCTCGCATCCAGCTCCTGCCAGCCATCTTGCGCAAATCGTCACTCCACCTGGCCTGTGGGCGTCCTACACTACGTTTGCCGAGACGCGGTCTCCACTCAAGAACTCGTTTTCCCCAACGGTGGCAAACCGATTCGCTGCCGTGGAAACCACAATCGACGTAAACCAGAACCTCAAAAATGTGGTTCAGATCCTCAGGGAAGAAGGTATGAGATTTTGTGAAATGCAGCGTAAGGGCAGGAAGTCGAAGCTTTCAGAAAGGACCCTAGGGCTGATGAAGAAACGACGTGAAAACCCACCTGTCACTTTGTCGGCAAAGCGGACTCTAAACCGAGAGATCAGTAAACTCGTACGACACGACCTCCGGTGCTCCAATACTCTTTCAATTGAAAGAGCGATCGAGCAAAATCGGGGGTCAAAAGTGTTCGTACAATCTCTTGGAAGAAGCCACCTGACAAAGTTGACTACAGAAAGTGGAGAAGTCGTTGCTTCGAAGCCGGCAGTCCTTTTGGAAGTGGAAAGCTTCTATGGCCGGTTATACGCTTCGCATGCATCTCGACCTGATCCCGAAAATGAGGACTCTAGAGCCACATTAACACGTCACTACACCGAAGACCTGCCAGAAGTTAGCATTGACGAAATCGAGATGGCTCTTGGACAGCTGAAAAATGGAAAAGCCCCTGGAGAGGATGGCGTTACAACAGAGCTGCTGAAGGCCGGGGGTAAACCCGTACTAAGGGAGCTCCAAAAGCTCTTCAACGCTGTCCTGTTTGAAGGGAGAACTCCAGAAGCGTGGAGTAGGAGTGTGGTCGTCTTGTTCTTCAAAAAGGGTGACAAGACCAGGTTGAAGAAACTATCGACCCATATCCCTTCTAAGCCACGTCTACAAGCTGTTTTCGAGAGTCATCACGAACCGTCTTGCGCAAAGACTCGACGAATTCCAACCACCGGAGCAAGCTGGGTTTCGGAGCGGATATGGCACCATAGACCACATCCACACAGTGCGGCAGATTATACAGAAGACCGAAGAATATAATCAGCCCCTGTGTCTAGCATTCGTGGACTATGAGAAAGCCTTTGACTCGATCGAGATCTGGTCTGTTCTGGAGTCCCTGCAGCGTTGCCAAGTAGATACATGCGATGGCGATACATCCAAGTGATGAGATGTCTCTACGAAGCCGCCACCATGTCCGTCCAAGTACAGAATCAGCAAACAAGGCCCGTACCATTGCATCGAGGAGTGAGACAAGGGGACGTTATTTCCCCGAAACTGTTCACAAATGCAATGGAGGACATGTTCAAGACGCTGCACTGGAAAGGGCGTGGCATCAATATCAATGGCGAATACATCTCTCACTTGCGATTTGCAGATGACATCGTCATCATGGCAGAGACGTTGCAGGACCTACAGCAAATGCTGAATGACTTAGCTGACACTTCTGTACGCATCGGCCTACGGATGAACTTGGATAAAACCAAGGTCATGTTCAACGAACATGTACTACCGGAACCGATTGCGGTACACGGTGCCGTTCTCGAAGTTGTTCAAAATTATGTGTACCTCGGGCAGACATTGCAGTTAGGTAGAAACAACTTCGAGGACGAGGTGAACAGAAGAATTCGGTTGGGTTGGGCAGCGTTTGGGAAGCTACGTCGAGTCTTCTCATCGTCGATCCCACAGTGCCTTAAGACGAAAGTCTTTAATGAGTGCGTCCTACCCGTCATGACATACGGAGCTGAAACGTGGACACTTACGGTACGGCTGGTCCACAAGTTCAAAGTCGCTCAACGTGCTATGGAAAGGGCTATGCTCGGCGTTTCTCTAAGGGATCGCATCAGAAATGAGGTGATCCGGCAGAGAACTAAGGTCACCGACATAGCGTACCGGATCAGCAAGCTGAAGTGGCAGTGGGCTGGCCATATTAGCCGCAGAACAGAGTTATGTGCACAATGAGATTACAAAATGAAATTAACAATATGAGATTACAAAACATTTAGACAAAAAAATATATTTGTTACGCAATAATTATCATGTTTGTTACCTCAAAACTCTTTCATTTGTGAACCGATTATAAATATATATTTTTATTTGGAAGGATATATTACCTCCTAAGTTCCATTTAAATGTGAACAAAAAATGCCAGTCTTAGTTTACGAAAATTAAGTAATTACAACTAATTAATGTAAAAAAAAAGTAAACAGGTTAAGATTGAACATATAGTTGTCTCCAGGAAAGATTTAGATTAAAAAACCAAGGAAATTAGAGTACCTATTGACTGTTAGTTCAAAAGTTAAATTATATTCTGTACATCGGTTAACAACCTCCTTTCTAAGGAGAGGCCTATGTCCAGCAGTAGACTAGTATAGGCTGTTGATGATGATGATGATGATGACATCGGTTTCTCCAAGAGCCAAAAATAATAATATGAAATGACTGAAAAATCTCAACCAAACTCGACCGTCTGACAACCCTCGTGCTTAAGTTGCAGAGACGACGATAAATCCTCTCTATTTGCTAGGAATTCGATCTTGAAATCTCTAGCGTCACAAAACATTTTAGAACACAAATACGCCGCTCCGTCAATTCTATTTGTTGTGTCAAATGGAACGGTTTAAATCCAATGGTGGCACAAACGTTTCACAGATTTACTGCAAAATTGTTTAAACGAACCAATTCACGCTTACGAGTGCGTTCGAATTTCAAATACAAGAGGTATACGATTGAACCTGTGTTGTGTTGTCAGCTGTTTTAGAAAGGTGCTTTTGGGTTGAGTGTTATTAGGGATTGTATAATAGCGGGCAAGCCCACCGTTATTAATGCTTACTGAGAGAAAATATAATAGAATGATGTCCGAACTTAATTTTTAAATTTCGAGAAAGATTTCATAATTTAGGAATCGATGTAAAGCTAAAAATTACTAACTAGATCAACAAATGTCCTTAAAACGTTTATGGCAAATGATTTTGCCAGATAATTCTAGCAAATGCTTTTAGGCAATTATGAATACAATACCTCATTTCTAAGGACAGGCTTATGTCCAGCAGTGGACTATTAAAGGCTGTTGATGATGAATACAATTGTGTAAAATGGCTTGACGACCGGATGGCGTAGTGGTTTGTGTAACGGACTGCTATTCCAAAGGACGCGGGTTCGATTCCCGCTCAAGTCAAACTTTTGTGTGCATTAACATTTAATGTTTGATTTGGTGGGTGTTTCTATATATAATATGTATGCATTTACAAAAAAAAGTATGTATGTATTAATATCAGTTGTCTAGTACCCATAGTACAAGCTCTGCTGAGTTTGAGACTAGATGGCGTTGTGTGAATGTGGTAGAATATTATATTATTACAAATATTAAATAAATATTCATATAAGCACCTAACTTAGACTTAATACTTGAACTTACCCACAATTTCTATAAAATACTTATGTGTTTAAGCTTACTTATCGACGATTTCACGACTTAAATTCTATAAAAGCTTTTAAGTTATATTTTTCTTACTTTTCAATGTTTTTCGCTACGACTTCTTTAGGGTATCTCAGTTTCTGTGGTGTTTTAACTGTATATAAAAATGGAAAAAGAAAGTAAGTGTTAAGACTACTCAAGTACTTTTGCAAAAATCACTGATTCAAGTATTTTGGTTAACTAAATGTCAATTTTCATACTGGGACCTATCTTATATAGATATATAAGACAGGTCTATCCTATATAGTTCCAGGGACTTCCTTTCTAGGGTATACCTGGTTCCCCGGCTATTAGTACCCGAGACGGCGTGCGGTTTTAGTCGGTTAGAGTCCGACATGCCACCGACAGGTGGTATCCAAGGGGATTTCCGCACGGAAAAAAAAAAAAAAAGAAAGAAAGGTCTATCCTATATAGATATATAAGATAGGACTTACTTATATAGATATATAAGATAGGACTTACTTATATAGATATATAAGATAAGTCCCAGTATGAAAATTTGTCGCTTGTTTTAGTTAGTGACCAGAGGGCCAAGTGCGAGTTTATTTCACTTCTACTCGATCGTCACGGTGACCGCGTTCGGCGCTACGATTGGCCCGCGCTGAAATCTCCACCAATCACAACGCTAAACGCGGTCGCCGTCGAGAGCGAGTCGATGTGAAATAAACTTGCACTCAGCCTTCAGAAGGTCACTAGCTAAAACATCGCGGCATGGCGTTTACAAGTTACAAATTAAATCTTTGTAACAATGTCTATAACTAAGTGGAGCTAGATAGACACTAACCGTCAGTATCGTTATGTCAAAAGACAAAAATATTAGTTCCGAAGAAGGATCTTATCGTAGACGCCTACGCTAAGATCCTTCTTCGGAACTAATATTTTGCATACTACCTGATACTATGCATATAGATTTCAAGTTTCTCTTCTAACTGAAACATGACGGCCGATATGGCTGGCAGCTATACTGAATTCGTAGTTTTCAATGTAAAACTGTAGTGTGTCTCTTTCAAATTCCGGCTGTCTTTGGAATATATACTGTTTATGAAATAAATATTTGCGCGTTTGCCATCTGGTAACATTCATAATCTTTCACCTTAGTTTTATTTTACCGAGAAAAAAGTTTATTTTAATAACGTTTACAGCTAAGATAATCTCATTTATTAATACTTGTAAATTACCCTCTTATCTGTAGAAAATTGTTGGAGTCTGTAGCGTCGAGAATATAATTGGTTTAATGTAATACAGGTCCAAGGAATATGAGGTTGGGCTTAGAAAGTATATAAAAAAATGTAATTAAGCATTAGGTACCAAATACATGTACATTATGTATGTATTTAAAAATATATAAGTATGTTTATCAGCAGTCTGGTTACCATAGTACAGGCTCTGCCTAGTTTGGGATCTGACAGCCGTGTGTGAGATGTGCGAGATATATATTACATTATTCAAACATGAAGTACTTCATTGCAGCAAAAAACAAGATCTCAAAAATAAACCGCAACAAACCAACTCATTTAAATGTACAAATAATGTAATCAAATACTTTCAATCAACCAAAAACGTAAAAATATAATTGTTTAACATTATTCGAGAGTACAAGTTGTTTAATTTTGTTTTTACTTATCAATGTCTGTATCTACATGACATGTGACGTCAACACGTTGTCTGTAATGAAATAATAGAAAGTTAAATATCTTCTGTGCTCACGAATCGTGACAGCTATTATACCAAGCTATAAATTCAAATGCGGCTAATTCAAATAGGGCTGCTTCAGATGCGACTTCAGAGTACTATAGGAGCTCCATTTAATAACTGAGTACGCAAGCTCTCATTTGCCAATATTGTTTCATCAAATTGGGGTGCAGGATGGCCGTGCGATATTGAACGAGACGATTAGATACAGAATAGATATAGAATTTTGTCGCTATTTAGATTATAAGTGTGTGTTCTTTTTTATTTTGTACTAGCGACTCGCCGCGGATTCGCACAGTTACAATGTAAATACTAATGTGGTGTTGGTATCGAGTTATTATTATCATGATTATACTACAGGATACGATGTTTATAGCTGTTTTTCATGAGTCACTATAAATATGTCTTCTTTAGGGGTAAAGCGCCGAGCTGACGGATAACGGACGCACAGACGAATGGTCGCACTGCCCCACATTTTAAATCCTTGATATCTTCTAAGATATTCATTTTAATGCAAAAATATAGTTTTAACTTCTCGGCTTTTCTCTTCTAGAATAAAACCTTCCACTTGAATCATTTTCTGTATTAATGAAAACTGTATTATAATCCGTTGCGTAGTCTGAAAGATCTAAGCCTACAGAAACGGAAAGCGACTTCGTTCGTCATTGTAACATTGTAGTCATTATAACAGCAATTTCATGAGCCCTCTCTTGCAACTCCTGCACGTTGACAAATCTCGGCTGCCAGAGTTGCAGGGGAGGGCACATGAATTTTTTTTGACTCCACTTTTAAAAAAACTTACTACTACATAATAGATCTTAGAAAGAGACAACTCTGCGCTAGGAATATATCCTGGGAACTTAACATTCTTAACATTCATAAAACGGACACAAAGAACACTCAGGCTCAGAACAACTATTTGTGGTTCACACAAGGTGTTGTTCCATGTAGGGATCAAATCCACAACACGCAGCGCAGTAGGAAGCGGCGAGATGACCGTTGAAACGATCGCACGCAAACTGAAGGCTGTATATTTTTAAACCACCTGAATTTGTCCCATAACAGTAAACGTGAGATAAACTGGCTACGGTATCTCAGTAAATTTTCCCACTGATACTATTATTCTATTGTACGTAGGTCTTTATTATGATGGAAGGATAGTTTAGAATAGTTCGGCATAAAAATTAAGTGTGATGAATCTCGCCGCTAAAGCTTAAATTGAGAACAAAATTTTATGTTACTGCTATCATAAACACCCGGTCCTGAATATTGAGACACGATATGAGCAAACGGGAAAGTGTCACGCAAGCCGAGAGGCGTGAAGCGACCCCCCATTAGAGTTCACGCGCCTCAACAGAGATTTAATCACATTATTATTCCGGTAACATCCTAAACGTATGTCGCATATATTTATATTAGACGATACGATAACGATACTGATTTCGTTAAGTTCATTGTATATCTAATCATTTACCAATAGTTTGTGGACTATTACGAATATATTCATTCGAGATATCTTAGACATCTGTCCCATTGGCAAATTCCGTTCTTAGCCTGTGTGAATTGCTCCTCCATTCCAAATAAATTTGATATGTAAGAATTTTTTATACAACCATATTTAAAAGTGATAGTTTACGAGCAAAGATTACACAATGACTTTATACATTACAACTAAGGTTTATCATAAATAAAGAAAGAGAAAGAATTAGTTTATAGCTTACACATAAACACATCGCATCGTAGTGAATGTCGTGAGCGTGCTGGGTGCTGCTTTCGCCAAAACTAATCATTGTGCCAATCATGTCGGACATTGTAAAGGGATCCTATATCGATTCGGGAGCGTTAATAAATAATAATAAGTTCACACATCTCATACACGGCCGTCTGGTCTCAAATTAGGCAGAGCCTGTGCTATGGTAACAAGACTGCTGATAAACATACTTATATATTTCTAAATACGTTTATATATTATTATAAATAAATTACACCTAGACACGGAACAAATGATATATTATAATATAATAAATGATCGTGCTCATCACACAATTATTTGTCCTGAAAAAATTGGAAAATAAACATAGTATTCTGGTTTTAATTGTTGCCTGCGGTAATTCGGGGCCGAGACGATCTCGAAACCTTCAAGAAAAAAGGGTATTCTCACCTCAAAGGACTAACTTCTGACTTCTTTTTTTTCTGTGCGGAAATCCAAAGGAATACCACTTACCGATGGCAATGTCGGACTCGAACCGACTAAAACCACACGCCGTCTCAGGTACCAGTAGTCGGAAACCAAGTGTACCCTAGAAAGGAAATCCCTGGTGCCCCGACGTACCTCGGGCCATCTACGACGGGTAGACGACCCCTCCTGTGTGGGAACCCCCATTTCCCTCTGTGCTCCCGGAAGGGCGCGCGCGCTTCGCAACGCGCTCGCCGCCCTGAGTTGCACCTGTCTATGGGCGACAGTAATTACTTACATCACGTGACTCTCATTTACCCCCATTTCATTAAAAAAAAATAGGTAGTGGAACATTATCTTTCATTTCTCTCTCTCTTAAGTCAGTAACCTAAGTACATATGTTTAGCAATTTCCAGAAATAATAATAATCCGAGGGAAAATCTCACTAGGGTTATCAAAAATTCGAAATACTTTAAAATAATTTTGACCACATTGAATTTCAATTGATCTTATATCTCGCACTTAAAGTTCTAACTGTATTTAGTTAAAACCCTGAATCACAGCATCAAAAATGCATTGGCCAGTCATCATCATCAACAGTCTTTAGTAATCCATTGCTAGACATAGGCCTCTACTTAGAAAGAAGGTTCAGGCCTACTATACAAAGCTGGCTAGACTGGTTGATATAGGGTTTCTTTTTTTATGATTTCCTTCTCTTTACAGTGCTGTTATAATGCATAGTTTACTCCCGTGGTTAGCTCTTATGACACCCATGGGATGAATAGGGGTTGGTGACACTCACATACATAATCACACGGCAGATTGACCTGTACTCAACTGTTATGACCTACTTGGCTTAGCTTAGTAAGGCATGGGGTTCTCTAGACGCGGGCGCTAGCGTCTTGTAGTCGTGATTGTGATTGTGAATCGTGTTTGTCTCGAGCAGAATGAACAAAAATATATTAACATTGTTTAGAGAACAAGTGGCATATGAACTTATACGACCTTATCCGCTCGCACTGTCCACCGCCGGCAACGTTTCTGAGAACCCAGCGCTGAGGTTATCCGTACATAGCTTTCGTGCGTCGCCGGCGGCGAACACGCGACGGTCGTCGGCGACGTTCAGAGAACCTCGGGCCTTAGAGAATTGCCTTCCTTTGTGTTAGAAGTACAAAGCATTCCCGTCTGTATAATTATGTAAATAGGGTAGGTACCTTTTATCTTTTATAACGATCATAGCACGACGTCCTAGATCTTGCAAAGAAAATTACTACATCAGGTTAAAGGTGAATACGTTAAAAGGTTTTTAAGTATGCTTAACAAATATACATTTACATACTACTAGGGGCTCGTGACTTAGTGATAGCCGAGTAGGTTGCAAAGTTAAGGAGTCCTAGTCAGTTCAGTTTACGGATGGGTGATTTTTCTTAATACATTAATACATTCGTTCCCTTACCCCTTTTTTTTTTCCGTGCGGAAATCCCCTCGGATACCACCTGTCGGTGGCATGTCGGACTCGAACCGACTAAAACCGCACGCCGTCTCGGATACTAATAGCCGGGGAATCAGGTATACCCTAGAAAGGAAGTCCCTGGTGCCCGTTCCCTTACCCGTAAACAGTATAACAACAGTCTATTTACAGAACTTCGATATCGACTAGTACTTGGGTTGTGGAGATCTGATGGCAGTCGCTCCACGTTAAAAATCAAAGTTCAGCCGTGTCGTGGCAGACTAAAAGCTGACCCTAACCCAGTCTGGGTAAAGGCTTGGAGGATGATAATATTATAGTCATGACTAATTTAACGACGCTGACTAATAGTCACGTAAACCGCTTGAAGTGTTTATGTGGGTTTTTGGGGCCCCATAATGTTGTATAGATTATGGGGCCCCAAAAACCCACATAAACTTTTATTATATAAACTTATATTTATAAAATTACTTGAAATTTTGTCAGCTGATGCTTTTTAACCGACTTCAAAACGGAGGAGGTTATCAATTCGGATCTTTTTTTATGTATGTTCGTATTACTCCGTCATATATAGACGGTTTTTAAAAATTATAGTCCCATTTAAATTTCATATAGATCTGATGATGAGTTTCGGAGACAGACAGCGGAACTCCTTCAAAAATGACAGCAAAACAACCTAGAGACAAGCTAGGTTGTTAGTGCCCTTTGTTAGTATTGTTTGAAGTCGGTTTGAAGCACTCACAGAGAAATAATTTTTGGAAATTTCACCCCTAAGGGTGTAAAATAAGGGATGAACGGTTGTATGGAAGTTCGTCATTTTCTAAGTTAGAAATTCTAAGTTAGTCAATAAATAATTACGAAACAAGAAAAATGCCGCGGATAATTACCTTTCCTTTTCCGACATTCAACTATAAAAATTCGAACAGAGGACGATCACTAATTAACAAAAAGAAATAATTTGATTGTCCTTGAAATATTAAGATTGTGGTGGACACGGTTCTAATCCGGCGTGAGATGCAAAACACATGTTTTTCGTGTTACTCTTAACTCAAGGGATCAGGTGAATTTATGTTTGGCAATTCGCTTCATTCTTCGCAATTTAGGTAATGACGTTACTGACTTCGGTACATCCCTTAGGGATTTTTCGGCCTCTCTAATTAAGTTTTTTTCCTTTTACACCCTCGAGCGTTTTGGAGAAATATCTCCATGAACTTAAATTTCTCAGTAATGGAATGTGCCCCATTCCGGGTAGCTGGTTACTAAGTCGAAGAAAAGTTTCTAAATATTTTATTGTTCTGAAGATATATGTTGTAAACCTTAGATAATTTATATGTCTAAATGAAGAGTGGAATACCCAGACTCAGAACAACTTGTAGATCACACATAGTGTCGTCCCATGTGGGGATCGGACCCTCAACACTCAGCGTTATAGTAAGCGTCGTGGCGAGCGCTTAAACCACTACGCCATCCGTGTAGTCGTACATAGCTTTGACAGTCTATTTAATCGATAAAGCTATTAGAATTAGCAACGGAGAAACACAAAAAAGTCTGGGAATGTTAAATGTTTGTAAACATAAAACAAAATTACTTCATGAAGAACTAGTGTAAAATTGAGTCTGAATGTGTTGTCTTATAAAAAGAAATAGTCCTGTTAGACAAGTGGTTAATAAATATTACTGCTAAACAAATCGTACCATGCCATTTCATACCAGGAAAATTATTGTGCATAGGTAAACACAATTCGTTCAACGTCTGTGTGTAATTAATAATATAATAATATTCTAGTACATTCACACAACGCCATCTAGTCCCAAACTAAGCAGAGCTTGTACTATGGGTACTACACAACTGACATAAATACATATTATACTTTTGTTTTTTTTGTAAATACATACTAATTATACACAGAAACACCCAGACCAAATCAAACATTAAATGTTCATGCATACAAATGTTTGACTTGAGTGGGAATCGTACCCGCGACGTTTGGATTAGCAGTCCGTTTCACAAACCACTACGCCATCCGGTCGTCTTAATCTTCGGTCGTAATTTAGATATCTATATGTTTGTATTTAGTAATATATAAGTAGGTATGTTTATCAGCAGCCTGGTTACCATAGTAAAAGCTTTGCCTAGGGCTAGAGGGTCATCTGATAGCTCTCCCACGTACAAATATAATGTTCATGATGAAGACCTATCTGATGCCTAAACGAACTGAATCTAACTATATTTAAAACATTTATAATAATTTCAAAAAGATTCAAACACTAGGTAGTAAAAGACATTACGTAGCACAAATCCCATAAAAATAAGAAATAGATTTAATTTCCTTCCTACGTCATATTTTCAGAGGACATCTTGCCTTTATCAAAAGTTAATCTCAAAGGATTATACAAGCCCATTTACATAAATGAAATCTTGGTGAGTAGTTAGCTAGAATGAATATAATTGTTGGATTAATAATAAAATGAATGAGATCACAGAGAGATATTTATGAAAGTTAGAAATTATATGTACTCGTAGGTAGGTATTTACTTTTAATATTTGGTTTGGTTCAACGCTGGGGTTTCGCTGCTGTTTGAAGATAATTAAGGATTCTCGTTTGAAGAAATAAGCAAAGTAATTAGCAAATGGATAATAAATACTTTGGAATATTTTAAAATATGATTAAAAGCGATATTCAAACTCAAATCGAGTATAATTGTATATATGTCGATTTTCGCGGTAAAAAGTAGCCTATGTTACTCGCTGATAATGTAGCTTTCCATTGGTGAAAGAAGTTTTGAAATCGGTTTAGTGAGTTAGGAGTATAACAAACAAACAAACAAACTTATTTTCACATTTACAATACAGAAATGGATTAAGTAGTATGTATTAATATTTTTATCAGTAGTTTAGTTACCATAGAATACGCTCTGCTTAGTTAGGGATTAGACGGCCGTGTCTGATATGACGTGTCAAATTATTATTATTATATAAAAGCGCTTGCCTGCAGCTCCGCCTGCGTGCATGGAAAGAAGCCTATATTACGCTGATAATGTAGCTTTCCATTGGTGAAAGAATTTTTAAATTTAAAAACACAGCACATAAAAAAATACAATATTCAGATTTTTATTAAACAAGCGTGTTTCTCTATATTTAACAATATAATTTTGTGAAAAAAAACTCGCGGTGAAATACCGCTGTGTGGACGGGGCCTAACCGCCACCCACATTCAATACATGTATGTTCAGTTTAGTACCAAATCAAAGATTTTTCTTTTCACAGTCTCATATAGATCCCACGTGTTACAGAATTCTGTCTACAAAAAAACGCGCGGTAAAATATCGCTGTGCTGACGTGGCCTTAGAAGCTAAGTTTTGAGGGTACTTTAAGGTATATAATCAAACACCCAGAATCGGGGGCAGGAAGAGGTTGGGTTGCGGTAAACTCACTCAGTCTGTGAAAAGTAATGACAGAATAACTAAACACCGGTTTTCTGTTAGGCCGTGGTATTAGTCTAGTCGTACTGATCCGTTTGTGCCGAAGTTCTTATAGGCTTTTCTACGTAAACATGCTTAGTGACAAATATAATATCTTTGACAGAAACTAAAAAAACAAAGACAGAAAATGTTGAATAGAACGGTTGGCCAACATTGTGATAAAGATAGGTTGCATTGTTTAAAAAAATAGATTCTTCTTTCTTCCCAGCCGATTTCGGCCATGGTGATCGGTGCTAATTATTAGCAGAAGCTAGCATTATTAGACCTCGCATGTGCCCTTTGGTGCCAATGCTCGAGCACGTTTACTTACAGAAAAAACATTTAAAAAAACAGACCATTTGATAACCTCCTATTTTGTGTTTTTGAAATCGGTTAAAAATAGATTACTTCAATACTAAACATCATCATCAACAGCCTATCGCAGTCTACTGGTGGACATAGGCCTCTCCCATTGCACGCCACTTAGATCGATATTGGGCTTCTATTTTCTTCTTCTTTTTCTTCAATACTAAACAATAACAATAACAACAATGGATGATTGAAATATTATACTTACAAATTTCCAAAGTAGCCACCGCATCCTTCATCAGCTGGTACGTATCGCCGTTTATTCTCAAGAAGTCGACGCATCCGAGGAAACCGTCGGACAGACCCAGCTTGCTCTGGAGACCAGTTGTGTTGCCCGCACCACCGACCCACACTGGCTCGCGGAACGTCATCCGAGAGAAAAGGCCCTGGTGACAAAAATTCCAATAAGTATAGAATATTACGTTTAATATCTTAACTTCGTTCTACTACATGCCGACATAGAATAACTTTGAATAAGTTTAGAATCGTATATGATTACTAACAAAAATACATATTTCTAAAACATAGCAGAAAATCTGTTCAATTTCTCTTTTTCTTGTCTTGTCTTCTTTACGAGATAAAAGAGACGTGTATTTTATGTACTCAGAGTCTACTAAAGGACAGGTTACGACATCGTTCATTACTACTGTGCATGATTTAGCCTCAAATTATACTCTCGGAGTTATGGCCAGCGTTTTATACCCATCCATTTATGTTCATCTTAGTATATATGTCTACATTAAAGCCATTTTGAATGTGCCTTAAAGCCTCGAAAGCCAGTATGAGTAGACACACTCTAAAGAGGTAGTGCACTCCTGGTTTCTGATTAAATTAGAGCTTGCTAGATATATAGCGGTACATTTACTTTGAATGTTATCGGCACATAAATAAGTGTTGTAGATTCTTACCTAGGGCAAACATTGTGTGATGAGCACAATCATTTGTTCTGTTTGATAGTAGTTACAGGGGTTAAAGTATTCAACAAAAAAAACCGGTCAGGTACGAGTCGAACTCGTGTGCCAAGGGTTCCGTACCTACCCAGATTCTACTTAGATTTTTGCAAAAATTTTAAGTACCAAAATTTATCTTAATTTTCAACTATTTTTATTTTTTGGAATTATTCCTTTATTTACAGCACAAGTAAAGACTTACAAGTACTCATAAGTTTTCGCGAAAATCGAAATTTGCCTACATCTTTTTATTGCGTTGACTTAGGACCTTGATTTTTATACACCTAATAGGGACCATAGACCTCAGTATCTGGTATAAATTTCAACAACAACAACGTACAGACAGACAGACGGACAAGGAAGTGATCTTATAAGGGTTCCTTTTTTACCTTTTAAGGTACGGAACCCTAAAAAGAACCCTAATAAATATAAATAATAAGAAGGAACCCTAACAAAGTTCAGGTGTACCAGAAGTAACTGTTGTAACATCACTACTTTGGTAAGTAGTAGTATGTCGCATCACTGACTCACGTAACAAGATGTACACTCTAGCGCAGCCATTGCTTGATCGTCCGCGACACTGTATAGACTTAAATCTAGTGCTCTGATTATATGACGATATAATATTCAAAATCGTTCCTATTTACTAAGTCCTTAAGCAATACGTGAGAACACAATTGTAACGTAATTTAAAAGGATTTATTTCTATTCACACATCATACTGCCTTAATTTATCTAATATACTATAAAAGTGTAGACATAATAGCAACTATTTTTTATATCCCATTATGTTCCACACCCAAAAGCGACCTTTACGCGTTCGTGTAAAAATAATTAGATAAGATGAACCTTCAAAAATAATACTGGCCTAATAAAATGACTATTCGTGTAAGGATGATATTAAATGTTTCGAAAAACTAAAAGAAAATGTCCTTAAATCGTCTTTGTTTATAAAAAACGTTATGTTCGATAATTTCTTTTCGGTTTACAATCATCATCAGCCCTCATTAACCCACTGCTGGACATAGGCCTCTCCTTAGAAAGGAGGTTTTGGCCTAATCGGTGTATAATGTCAACAATATTATACATGTATTTGAGAAGTATATTTAAACGGACAACGATCAGCAAAGAGTTGATAATCTTTGAATTTAGAACAAAACAGTTTTTTATTTTTATTTTGAAACATGATAATCTAAACCAAAGCAGATCCATCACTATGAGAGGCATAATTATTATAGACATAAATAATTATACAATAAACACGTAATCCCCTTTTTGCCTCGTGGGCTAAAGCTCGCTCTCTAAGCTAGAATGGCCAAAGGGGTAAAGGCTATTAAGGGCAAATCTCGATTAACTTTAACAAGTTTACAGAGATTTAAGAGCCTCGTCTTGTTTACGTATCAATAAGCTACGTGACGTTTGAGATTATGTGTTGTGACTTCGATCTCCACAAGGATTTTATGAAATTACTGTTGTCAATCTGAATACTGACGCTCTGATGACTGTTCACTCCTATTTCAATTGAACTTTAACCTTGGAAAGAAATAAATCTAAATTTCATTGTTTTAAATTTAAAAAGCTTATTTAAGCTTTTGACGAATGTTGAGTTCAATGATTATGAGTCAGGCTCTGTTTTGTATTTGTTAACCTTATTTCAGTGGCTAACTCGGTGCACAAGACTTATCTTTTCATCTTCATAGCTTTGATCAACTCTTTACATTAAATTCACGACTGAACTGCTATCCAGATGTCATCAGCAGACGCATTTGCACAAAAGTTATTATTTGAGAATCGTGATCATAGCAAACTTTAATCTCAGTCAAACATCCAACAAGTTTTCTGACAAGCGTATTGTTTTAATTATCTGATAAATAAAACAAATAAACTTTTTAATTAATACACAATTTGAAGATTCACATCGCTAAATCCTATTCCACGTTTGACCGCCCATTATCGGGGTAGCTTTCATCCGGAACGGAGTTGAGGGTGGCAGTTTGAACGGGAGGAATTCCCTCAATTCTTCTGAGACATTGCCCTCGACTGTGTTGAGGCAATTATTTAAAACTGGAAATGGTCCCTTAGACGCTCTCTAAGTTCTAAACTTATGATAGACGGGTAGTAGAAAATATTACAGTAAGCGTAAAGACACGCAAGTTTTCGCATCTTAATGTTTCCAACCCATTAGCATTTCCAAATATCTGAGGATGATTTACAACTAAGTAATTATGACCGTCAATATTACTACTACTGCTTCGGTTAGAGAGGTCGGACTTTTAGTTACAAATATGCAAACCTGCCTTAACATTACCCAAACCACCTATATGCCTAAAAATTGCCTTCTCTTCTTATCTACCTTTCTGTTCTCTAAGTAACTCTAATATACTCCAAATTTTCCCCTTTAGCCCTAAATTGACCCAGGTGGTCCCATCGGTGACATGTGCCTCAGAAATGGGATACGGCAGGAAGGACTTCAGAAGCCGCCGATGCGTTCCTGGAGCTCCTCATGTCTGCGAGGCGGGGTTTAACGAGTAGACCGGTTCTCCGGGAGTCTCGGGAGAAAAAATATAGTTAGCAAAAAAAACGCACTTTTATTATTCGGGAACTTGAGTGTATGTAATATTACCCGAAATCAATATTTTGTTTTGTAAATTTCGCTCTGATTATTATTGTTTTAGTTAAAATTTGACATGATCTCTAAAATTATTACCGCAAATTTAGAAGCAAAATTTTAGCGCTTCTCATTCGCATTAGGAAGGTGTAAATGTAGGATCATTTGCTTCTTCAACCCTTTTAGTCGCGAATGTTCTTAATGAGTTGAATCCGTTTTTGGTGGAACGATTTCTGTAAGCGATGTAGATGTTTTTGTGCCTTATTTTACAGCTTGCGAGCCAATTTATGTGCGAGATTAATAGCACACGTGAAGTAATGCGGTCTCATTAACTGCCAGGGAAATGTACTTATTTCCAACGCGTATAATGTTTACCTGAACGTCAATTTTATGGCTCAAAATGAGGTGGGAATTACTTGGAGCTACGAAAAATTGAAGTTTTTTTAAAAAGGTAAGATAAAAGCGTGTTGAAATTTTATTAACAATTTGCGCCAAAGTTTTAGTTTTTTCTATATTTGATGTTTTACCCATCTGTTACTGACCCTAGAAAGGAATTTAGTTAAGAAGGTCTGTACAACTACATTAGGAACTACAAGACAATATTGACGATACCGACCAAAAATAGTTTGGGCGTCCCGAAAAAGAAAACAAGCTGAAATGTGTACCACATCTGGCGCTGAGTCCTCCGTAAACATACTTTATACGTAATAATACATTTTGTATTCTTAGAATATATTGCGGGTATTTCATTAGTGTTTAAAGATAAAACAAAGAGAATCAAATTGTTTCATTCAACAAGAAGTTTATAGAGGTATAGTTTAAATTTGAGTGCAGAAGATTTACATATATTTTTATTGGAAAAAGTCTTTATATAACTCTTTATATAACAAATATGGCACACCCGAACACATCATATACTAATATTTCACGTGGTTTAATATACGCAATAAAGTTTAAAATTATATAAAAGGTATTCAGTACATTTAGTTTCACCTTTCATGGTACAAATATATTTAATGACAGTTCAACTTGTACTGTTCAAAGTCAAAATGTTAGAAATTCTTATCCATCAGGAAATTTCTAGAATGAATAAACACGTCAAGCTAATATAAACCGACTAAAAGTAAAATACAAAAACCAGATGAAAGAAAATCACAGTACAAAGATTATACGTATACATTGTTATGAAAGTGCAACATGAATTTGCAACAGTTGGGTTGTATGAGATAAATCATTGCGTCGTCTAGCACTCTCGTATACATTAGATGCAGCATCCTGGCATTGCAATCTCTAAATGGAACGACTGAGCCAGTCGACGCTTGCTACGAACTGACAATTTGCTTCGCATTCCTGCGATTTGTAACAGAGCAATATCACTAAAATACAAATGTTATTTGGCAAGTTAGAGATTATTGTTGTTTTTGTATATATATTCATTTTATAATATGTATATGATTTTGGTTATTCCTTAGGAGACGAGGCTACGATCGTCGTCATCAACATTAACAGCCTTAAATAGTCAACTGCTGGAAATAAGCCCTTTAGTTCGAAAGATGAATTTTTATTTTATTTACTGAACATAAAATATTTAAAAAAATACAGATAGGCGCAAATCTGAATCGTACACTGAGGATTTTGTCTACATGGTTCGTCTATCTTGGTAATCAAATGCAGAAGATTTTTGCCCGTTTTTCAAATGATAAAGATAATTTTGGCCTTATAAAAAAAAACTATTCCATACATCGATATACGTAACACTCAGCTTACTATTCGCAATTTCTAAGTTGGTATTTTTTTTACTTGTGCTTTAAGACCTTGTTTCGAAATA